CCCAAAAAGAGCTCCGGCGCTGTCTCTGCAGCCCTTCTTCCAAACCATATGAATCACTTTGGCCTCAGGGAGCTGCCACAAGTCACTTGAGTGGCTAAAAATATCTCAGAGGAAGAGGACAAAAATATGCTTCTCTGCTGCTGTAACGCTGGGCTGAGGAGGGCACGCACCAAATTAACTTGTTCGCTGTTCTGGTGCTTCGCTCCCTAAAGGTTTGTTTGTTAGCGAAAGCGGAGCTGAATAAATATAGAGGTCTATAGTAGATATTTTGAGAAAGGTACTTTCTGGGGGAGGAGGAGGGTGGAAAAAAAACACTTGGATGATTCAAAGGTGGTCCACGCCTCTGATTTCTAGTGTTTTCTAGCTCAAGGGTTTGTAAAATGGGGGTTTCCTCCCAGGAGGGATTCGAGCTGAGTGGGGGGAGATGAAGTGATGAAGTGCTTCTTCTGAGACCTCCTCCTGTTGGCTGGTGGTTTGCCTTGATGTTACCAAGCGTCAGCAGTGATTCACCTCCACCATAACCACCTTCCAGGACTGTGTGTGTTTATCTAAACCGTTTCCACGGGGAAATTTTTATTCCAATGACTTTTAGTCCACTGGCAACAAGTGGACAGAAGGAAAACGCAGAGCCGTGCCTCTAACCGTGGTGTGTGATGAGTCACACCAGATGCTTTACCTGCTTGCTGCGTATGTACCATGCAATGAATGCCTTTGGGAACTCGATCTAGGGGCTGAGGATGGACACGCAGTTCTCACACTGAGAAAAGATGCAGTGATTCCCTGGGCTGCCCAACACGACATGGCCAGGAAAGGATTTCAGCGTCCCATACAACTCAGCAGGTCCAAATCAACCAGAAGGAAACCAGTCTGCCTGGAAAATACACTCCTATTTCTCCACAGTACTCAATTCTCTGCCCCAGCCGAGCAATGTCCAGTCTTGGAGCAGTGGAGGCACCTTGAGAATTGATGTCTTTAAGTACATGTTAGCTTTAAGACCTGTCACACTTGGGAAAAGGAGATTGGTCTCATTCACTGTCCACAGACAGACTTCAAATTTCACGTGCAATCACTTCTATTCCATCTTACATTTCAAATTCATGTCACAGTGATGGTTTCCTCTCCTCTGTCTTCCAAAGAAGCCTGGATGTGTGGCTCAGATGGAGACATCTGCACAGGGTCTGTTTACAGTCAGAGTGGTGAGTCTGACCCATGTATCCTCGGGGGAATCTATGCTGTCAGAAGACAATATGCCGTCACAACGTCCCGTGACAGCACTGGGGAGCTGCCAGTGCAGCATGAAGACAAGTTCATAGAACCCAACTGTCCTCCGTGCTCTGAGAAACATCACCTAAGTGATGAAAGGCCAACCAAATGCTGAACTCTGATGCTCAATATGTAAACATGTTTAGAAATATGCTTCCAGCCTGAGGATGGGCGTGGAATGTTGTTGCAGCAGTATAATGCATGACTAGCTATGCCAAGGATAACAGATGCTCTCAATGTTGGTTGCTGTATATAGAATACATACTTAGGCTTTATGACAGCTTGGAAAAGTGCCGTGTACTGAATGGAAACTGCAGAGTAGATTGATTGTTTCTCAACTTTGAAATCAAAAAACGCCATGGCCAATGGGAAAGGTGTTCAGTTTGTGGGAAGTATCAAAAAATTGGTGAGTTTGACTGCACTGTATTGTTTCAGATGAATGCAGATACTGAAAACAAATCAAAGAATTTAAAAAAATGGGAACAGTCAAATAAACATCCTCAGTGATGATGTTTCCAGACTTCAGACCTGTGGTACAAAGCCAGCCTGGATTTGTTTATGCTGGAAACTGTCATATCTGAGTTGAGGATTATTGCATTCTCTTTCCAGAAAGAGCCAGAAAATACAACCACTGAACATCATCTCTTGTACAAAGGTTATGTCTGCTGGACAGGGCATACCAGAGCTCCTCAGACAGCTAATGCCCATGGGCTGATGTCACAAACAACAGTGCTTTGCTTGGCAGTGCAGAAATATTTTTTTTTTGAGCAGAGGACATCCGGTATCTAATTAGCTGACAGAGATATGGGCAAGTAATTGAAGTGATGCTTATTGCATTGTGATGTAGCTGATTCCATGTATCTTCCATCTAGGAATTATTATTTCTTTTCCCCAGATGCCTTGTAACAGAATGAGGTCTGGGTACACGGGGCAGGCTGTCCAGCTGGAGACCTCCAGGCTGCTGCACCCTCCAAGAAAAAGGCTTCAAAATAGAAAGCAAAGCAAAACAACCCACTTAAACACTTTTAACCAATTAACATTTGCTTTATTTAGGTAGTTCTTGGTTTCCCTTCCCCAGAGACAAGAGACTAGGCAGGAGAGAGGCTGAAGCTACACGTCCCGGTGGAGAGCTTGGAGACAGCTGGTGCTCATGGGCACATGGCCAAGGAACCCAGCACTGGAGCTTGGGTTTCTTGGAGCAAAAGGAAACGTGACATGTGGGTCTTGGCCTGCACTCCAATCTGTTTACCCCATGCTGGCCCACAGGAGAGGGATTTTTTTTTTTTTTTTTTCCTCGGGAAGCACTTATTGAGATCAAGAAAGAAGTTTATTAACTTATTAGCCAAATGGAGACTGTCTCACTTCGCTGTGCTGCCTGGCTCCCTTCCAGCCTGGGCTGGTATGAAATTACCCACTGTGACTCCAGAAAGCAGGAACAAAGAGCCCTGCACACCAGCTTTCCTAGCAGCCTTTGTTTCGGATTTGTGCCTATATCAGCCCAAAAGCTGGGCAGCAGAGCACTCAGCTGCAATGTCCTGTGTGAAACTCACTGCACAGCTCTCCATGGGTGCTGCAAAACCAGGCAGCGCTGCAAAACCAGGCAGTGCAGCACAGAAAATTTGGCTGTGTGCAATGGCACTGCCAGAGCTTTGCCTCCAAACCAGCAGCTCCAGGAGCAAAAATTCTGCCCAAATCAGAGTGGAGCATGTTGGCCAGCTCAAATGCAGGATGTTTATTTTAGAATCAATAGAATTACAGACATGTTTGAGTTGGAAGGGACCTTACAGACCATCTGGTCCCACTCCCTGCAGTGCATAGGGACACCCACAGCTCCATTAATGCTCAGAGCCCCATCCAGGCTGACCTTGGCTGTCTGCAGGGATGGGGCATCACCACCTCTCTGGGCAACTGCCCTGAATGTAAAAAGCTTTCTCTTTATATCTAACCTAAATCTCCCTTCTTTGAGTTGGAAACCATTTCCCCTTGTGCTATCAACTGGTGGGTCTCCAGATCATGCAGCTCATGAGGTCTTGATCTCAAGCAGCTGTTCAGCCAAAGAGGGGGTACTGGGATGCCCCTCAACACACTGAGGTCATTTCTTCCTTTGTAAAATGATCTTGAAGTCAAAAAACATTAGGGAGGTAGTTGGCTTTAATGATCTATTTGGGCACACTGGGAAGAGGTGTCTCAAAGGACTTGCTGGGAAGCACAGGCATCTCTGGGAGCCTTCCTGCCAAGGAGTTCCTCATTCAGGAGCTTTTGGTTATTGCTCATAGACAGGAGGACAATGACATTCCCGTTCATATTTGCTTCACTTCTTTTTTTTTTTTTTTTTAATTTAATCAATCTATGAAACACCTTATATGCGTAAATGAGGTTAATCTGAAACTCATCCCATAGCAGAACTGAGGCAGAGGGTTGATGTGGTCTTTGCAGATCCGCTCATACAGGATGCACACTGAGACATACATAACTGCTACGTGAGATCCCTGTAGTTTTGGAGAAAAGAGAGAACTGGGACTTTCAGGTTCACAGTCAGACCCTTCTCTAATTCAAAAGAGCTAAACCACGTGCTTCCTTGTTTCTGATACACAGAGCTCCCAGCAAACCTGCTCTCAAATTTCCTCACTCAGTGATGTTTGTGATTATCAGAGAAGTCAGCATTTGTTTCGAGGAGAATGACTGAATCAGGTTGAGTAAATTTTATTTGCTGATATCATCATGCAGGTGTTTGAAGCCTAATGCACATGGCCACACTAAAACCTTTGCTACTTACCCTACGCTGCAGTGCTGTTGCCTTTCTTCCACTGGTGCTGCCCTTACAACAAAGGGGTTGGGTGCTGTTCCTGGGCTGCAATGATACTTCAGTCAATGCATGTCTTAAATTTTGGCGCAAAAAGAGTGAAGTAGTCTCATTTTAAAGTATTATTATGCATTTTGAAATGACTGTTGAAAGCCCTTGGCCCTCAACACTTGTGCACAAAGCACTTGCCCTCTCTCAGGCTGTCTGTATTGTGTTAAGGGCTATGAAGACCGGGCTGCTCCTGCTGATGACTTTCCAATGGAGAGGGCCACTTAATGAGGAGCTGCCTCAACTTTCCCTTGTGTTTAACATGAAAAACTCCAACCCCTCTGCAGCTCTTCAGTCCTTTGCTGTGGAAAGGAGCTTATAAACTTGTTACTCAGCACTCAAGATCGCACAGTGAACTCACTCTGTGTTTTGCTATGTTTTACATGTGTGAATTGAGCAACGAGACGCAATCATGCAGCCATTTCTGGACGGAGTGATGACTTTGGAATTTAAAAACTCGATGGCAAATGGTGAATCATCATCAGAATTCAAACCATATGACTGAAATGCTTTTCACGTTTTCCAGTGTTCCCAGTGCTGTTTCATCTTTGAAAGTAATCACACAACAGAATGTTACGACCTACTGCAGGGGACCTGCCATAGCAGGGGTTAGATTGGATGATCTTCAGAAGTCCTTTCCAACCCCTACAACTCTGTGATTACCTTTTTAATTGGGTGATGACCAATCGAAAGCCTTCAGAATCCTCCAGCTTCAAGACTTCAGCAACCACCAAGAAAAGGATGAACATTTTAGCTAGGTCTTGCATTATTTTCTCCGAAGAGCGGCTGCTGTGTTATTGGTAATACATGAAGCTTTTATCCGACCACAAAGCAGCATTGTAGCCATGGAAAACAACTGTATTTAATTTGCCATCACAACTGCATTTCTCCATGAATGATTATGAGCACCGCTCTGGTGCACATCTGTGTCTTTTGCGGTGATCGTTTGCTTGTTTTTATGTTTTGCTATATCTAGGCAACAAAAGGAAGCCTGAAGAGCTTTTCCTTTCAACAGTTACACCAGGTTTGATTTCATAACCCTCTTTTACACTTGACGGTGCACTGTGAGCATCTGAGAAATTTCCTTTGCTCAAACTGCAAAACGCCTTGGACGATTAGCACCGTCTATTCTCACCCTCATGAAATTCTTTCTCCATTCTCATGGAAAACGCAGCATCACTTCTGAGACTTAAATTTGTAGATTGAAAATTCCCATTGTAGTCAGTCACAGCCTAAATCGTCAGATGGGCCTTTGGCTCAGTATGAGAAACAGAGGTACGGGATGAAACATTTAGCAATTGATTTTTTCCATCTCCCAAGCACTCAGGATTTGATTCAGAAGGGCTGTTCCCATTGCACAATTCAGGACTAGCTGCTGCTGGGACACACACTGAGCGGCAGGACAAAGGAACATGGTGGGACAGGGAGCAGCCCAGCGCTCCATGCTGCTGCTGCAGACTTTACTCTTACAAAAACCTCCTCTTCAATCAAATATATTTGCAATTTGGGTGATGTTCCTGTATTTCTTTAAAGCCGACCACTTCTATAGTAAGTAATGTCAGATTCAGAAATGATTCGAGGTTTTTTTCTGGGAAAAAAAAAACTGTTCTGAGAATTTTCTCTGCCCTACTGACTCTGAGGAGCCCTGGGGCTCCTGCTGTGATCTGACCATCCTGTCTGCTTGTTGTTCTGCCCAGCAATCTATAGATTCTGCTCTGCTGCTTTCACGCATGGCTGGAAAACCGTTTACCCTGTAAAACTCCCACATTCCAGCTGGAGAAAGTCACAGCTATGCTCATTTCCAGAGACATGCTTCCAATCTCATGGGCCATCCCATGGGCCTTGATCCAGACCCCCTGCACCGTGGGTACCCCCTTCCCCAGGGCACAGCTCCCAGGGCATCTCTGGCTGGGGAGAGGCGCTGGAGGGAGGTAGCTCAGCTCTGTTACCTCCAATGCTGCTCTGTGCCTGCTGAGAACCTGGCCCTGTGTTTCCATCCTGACTCCTCCCTTCCTGCCTTTCCAGGCCACACATTCCCAAAATATCCCCTGTCCCTCATTCAGGGAGGCAGAAGGTAGCGCTGACCCTGATCTGTTTTGCAGACAGTGGCTGCTCCTCTCCGCCCCCTCAGAAATTCTTTATAAACAGATGTTAAGTGAAGAAATCACACCAAGATGGTCGATTTTTATTTTATTTTATTTTGTAGCATGGCTACAAGAGGAGATTTGGGCTTTCCTCTGCTGGATTTACATCCAGTAGATGAAGAATGGCAAAGGACCGTCCCTTGTGAGAGCCTCTCCTTTGCAGGAGCCAGCAATGCACAAAGAGCTGCTGTAAATCAACCTGGCAGCAGCAATAACATCTGACAGTGCCAAAAGAGCCCCTCGTTGGCTTTGCTGTCTGGAAATGCCTGGCCGATGGCAGGGTTTGTATTTATGCTTCTTGGTAATTTGTGCATACATCAGTTTATTTATAAGCAGAGCACTTGCCCAGAAAGCGCTGTGTTTTCTTTGGCCACTCCAAGGGTTTCTCTCTGTTTGGTTTCCAAAGCACACACGTGGAAAGTGGAGGAGCGAACTGCTGCACCAGGAAGAGTTAGTCATTTGTCCAGGATTATTTTTCCAGGTGGATTTTATGAGAAGCACAAGGCAGGAGGAGGTACAGCGCAACAGTCTGCCACATGGTGTGCAGTTCTGCCCCATCCTTTAAGCATGATCCCCTCAAGTGTGAGAGCACCAGAAGATGATGAAGGTAAAGTGGGTTAAAAATGCACTTTTGGTTTTCTTTCCATGGGAGGGAGCATTCAATGTGCTGTAGGATAATTTGGGGCTGGATCTTCTCTGTTATGCAGCAGAACATAACTTGGTCCCAGTGTCTGGTTCTCAATAGGCTGGTGATGGCACCAATCAAATATATTTTCAATCTGGGGGCAGCAGCCCAATTGCCCACAGCTTTTGGATGTGCCCTGGGTCTCCCATGAAGGCAGAGGTTGAGAGTCTGATTCACAAGGACAACTCATAGTGGGGCCAACGTGGCTGTTGCCGAAGCACTGGGAGCAACACCAGTGAGCTGGGAGAAATCGTGGCCACATGTAAAGTGGTGGGAATGTTGCCACTACTTGCATCAGAGCCAGAAATTCAGCCTCTGTCTGTGTGATGTGGCTGAGAGCCAGGGCCTGGCGCAAGCCCATCCCAGCGACTTGCTGCACTCCCAAGCTGGGAGCTGCTGGCTCCTGAACATGCTGGTAACTGGTACAGAGAAATATTGGGGTGTTCAGATGCTGAAATGGAGATAGCTATCATCCAAAGAACCCCAGGTATCTACATGGGGCTGAAAGACCCACAGGGTCCCCTTTGGGATGCATCAGGGCATCTCCGCATACAAACAGAAAGTTGTGCCTGGGCCAACGTGTCTTTTGTCACTGGGAAAAGTTCATCAGTGTAGTATATCAGTGTATTTCTTCCTCTACCATGGATAAGTTCTCCAGTTCACAGCACCAAACCCCCAGCTCTGCATGGTGAAGCTGACCAATGTTCAGCCAGATCTGGGCTTTAATCCAAAGCCCAGTTTCAGAGAATGGCTGAAATGCTGGAAACTTGTTTCTATGTTCCTCTGTGGGTTTCCTCTTCAACCTCATCCTCCCTTTCTTCCTTGCAGGGAGTCAAAAGTCCTCCTTGGGGGTTTGACATCTGTGCTCAGGCTGTTGAAGCCCACATTCAGCCACCTGCAAGGGATGCAGAGCCAGCTCAGATTTTGGCTGGGCTGGCTGAGACCCAGAGCTGCTGACCAAAGTGGAGCTGTACCAGACAGACAGGAACATGGCTGAAGTCTGTGATTCCGTGGTATCCTGTTCACCCTCATACAAACCAGGCCACTTCTGCAGGAGTTCAGCACTTCTGTAGAAGAGAACCTGGGAGGTAATCCAGTGGCCACCAGTCCCTGAGATGAATGCAGCAGTGATAAGCTCTGCTTATCAGGGCTTATCAGGGCAAATACAGGCAGCATTGTATACAATGAGAAAAGTCATGGAAATAGAGAATACAGCAGGTAGAAGATTTTGACTTTCAGTAAAGCACTGGCTCTGAAATTATTTCAGGATCCTGTGGTTACTTCTGAAAATAAACTTATGCACTGAGACACAGTGAAATGACTGCATGCAAAGGTGGTGAGGCTCTGTAGGTTGCTGGTTTGGCCCTCTGAGACTGCAGGAGTCTCAGGGAGCAGGGAGCACAGCTCAAATGCCTCATGCAGGATGTGGAAAATGATAGAGCATTTGTAGATACATAACCCTAGGATTATGGCATAATGCCAGTCCAGGGGAAACCCAGATGGCCAGTGAGATGCCCAAAAGCATTTCCAGTGAAAAGGTTTGCCTTTTTGCTCCCAGGGCTGCACATGGAGGCTGAGCTCAGGTCTCCATGTGCCTGAAGGTTTGTTTTGGGGACAGAAATAGCAGGATAAATTGTTTTGAGGATGAACAGGTGTGCTTGAGAGTTGCTTTATTTTTTTTTTTTTCCTAAACATCCCAAATCAGGAACACCATTTGTCTACACAGAACCACTGTCACCACTACGCTTTGGCTGCTTCTCCCACAACTTTGGCAATTTCTGTCTCAGTGCTGGGTCTGATGCCTGAACAAAGGGTGAGCCTGCAGCTTGGCAATGCTGCTTGTCCTATCTCAGCATGAATCTCTCACTCCAGCACGTGCCCCAGTTCTTTGTACAGTCACAGCAGAACTCTCTCCTCTTGCACTGACCCAACACACTGGTTTCCAAAGAAGTTTTGGTTTCTCATCTCAGCAGGTCTCTGCTGGCCCTCTACTGAGGGTATAAATCCCACACTGATGCTATTCTGGAGTTTACTGCTGCTGTATATGTTACCAAGGGATGCTTCTATCATTTTCTGCTCAGTCCTATTTAGGACACTTCTTATTTTTATAAAGGAAGTTCAAAGTCAAACTCTTCCCTAAAACTCCTTGAGAAGTGTATTAAGGTGTGACCTAATTTCTTACAAGTTCTTCCATTGGGACATATTCTTCTCCACATCCTCTTCCATCCATCCCTCCGCTGGGGATGCACATATCAGTTGTGTCCCCATCAGCTTGGGGATCTGCTCCACCCCTCCTGCTCCCACCAGGTGCCCTAATTATGTGTGTGTTGTGAGCAGCTAAGTGCTGTAGGGGATACTGTGAAGGCAAGCTGGATGATGACCTCCCTTTTTTTCCTGCCTCAAAGATAATTTGAAAGATTTCTTTGCCTTCTAATGTTTCCCTGCATTAGTGAAACTTCCCTATATAAGAGCAGAGCTGGACAAGAAGGTAAGAGCAGAGAGCCTGCAGGCTAAGCACTGCCTGGTGGGCACCTGGAGGTGAGTTGCTATTGGCAGCCAAATGGCTGAATGCCACTGTGGAAGAGCAATGACCTCATTGCTCATAACAATCATAGAATCATGAAGGTTGGGAATGACCTCTAAGATCTCCAACACCAACCCATCCCACCATGCCCACTGACCACGTCCCTCAGAGCCACATCTGCACAATGGCTGAACACCTCCAGAGACAGTGACTTCACAGCCTCTGGGCAGCCTGCACCAGTGCCTCACCACTCTTTCAGATAAGAAGATTTTCTGCATCTATGAGAACATCTTTTGTCTTGCAGTGGGTTTCTTCCTGGCTCTTAAAGGAAGAGATGGCCTCACTTTACATCATCTGTGCCCTGAATCACCCTTTCAGAAGAGATTCTAGCTGTCTAAGATGTGCACTTAGGCAATCTTTACTCACAAAAAGACTGTTTATATTGTATTTAGATCCTAAATCTTGATTCACTCCTGGTTTCTACCTTAATTAGTCCATTTCTGCAACGAAGCAGCAGAAATTACTCCAGTTCTTCCAACGAGGTTTAGACCTCAGTCATTGGCAGCCCCTTCCTGGCCAGTATAATGTGCCTGGTATGCCTAGGGGGCAAGAAGGCACTGTCCCACTCTGCAGGCAGGAAAGGGGTATGGAGAGGGCCCTAACTATGGCTAATTCCACCTGTTGGCAGCTGCCCAGAAGCAGCAGGAGCACACTGGGTGGTCGAGACACCAGAGATATCACTGAAGAGGAGGATGGGGATGTGCTGGCGGTCAGAGCCGCAGTCCTGAGCAGTCTCCTAGGAATCAAAGATGGGCACAAGGCCCTGGGTTGGATGAAGCCTTGATCCATACTGGCACGGTGGTTCCTTCAAACTCCCAAGAGTGCTGCAAGTGTTAACATACAGTAGCACTGCTTCTGCCAAGATAATATCTACAATAATATGACAAGGCAGCATAATTTAAGTGGGTGTATGTTGCCTCTCTTCACCCTGAGCATTTTTCTGCTGATGGGACCTTGCTAATTTGCTTCCATCAGAAGAATAAATGAATCAACTGAGTCAGCAATGCTCTCCTGTTTTGAATTTTTATTTGTTTTAATCTGATTGTTTCACCATAATTCCCTGGGCAAAAAATGATTCGAACAGAGAGAGGCATTTCCATGTGTGGAAGTCTCAGGCTGCCTCTCCAGAAAGCACAGTGCCCTTGGAACCCATCCTGCCCCTCACAGGTAGGTCTCCAGCGCTCCTGTTGGATTCCCCACACCACGCATGGCCACAGTTCCGATGTTGCTGCATGTCTGCTGAAAATTTTCACTCATCTGAACCTCCAGGAAGGAGAAGATCCTGGGAGATCTTTGCTTGCATTCCCAATTCCCTGCTTACATTTTTAGGCTCAGGATGACATATCTGGGTGGCAGCTTAATCAAAAGAAAACTACCAGAGGATAAAAAAAGCTACCAGAACTGGCATGAAAGGTTTCTTGCACATCTGAACTTGTTGTTTGGATTGTAACTGCTGTGCAGTTCATTACAGGCACTGCAGGCAATAGGTGGGCAGTGGGACATGCCCTGTGCCCATTCCTGATGGCCCCATCCCCTCATTCATGCTGGGTATTCACCATTAAGGATACACAGATGTACCACCTCATCCCCATGGAGTGGCAGATTGGGAGTTTAGCACAAGTCTGGCATGAAGAAGTGCTTTTCCTGCAGTGCTGAAGAAAGACATCAGCAAGACCAGGATAGCTGCAGAAAGCAGCTCTTTGCTCAGTCTTGACTGCATGAACGAGTATTGCACTCTACCTCCCTCACATCATGACAGCAGGCATGGTGATATCTGCCCAAGTGCTCCTACAGGGCATGCATGGGAATGCAGGGAATGCAGCCATGGGGACAAGGCACTCTGCCTGACAAGGTTCCTAGCCCATCTGCACCAAGAGATGGGCCTCATTCTCCATCCAGCAGTTCCTTTGATGCAATTTGGAGCCCACGGCCCCTTTTATGGCCTCAGCTACATGAATCTGAGCTGGGCAAGGCTGCCTGAGTCTGAAGGTGTCCAGCATGGAAAGGGAGGATCACTGCCATGTTGCAACTTTCCAACTCTGAAACAGGGAGTTGGTGCCAGAGTGAATTTGATTTTTTTTTCCAGGATCCGTTTGAGATGAAAGTTTCCTGGTACGCGCAGTCTGTGCTCCACTGAAGTTCAGCTGCACAAAAAGATATTTATGATCATTTCCCATTAAGTCGAAATCTTCCAAAAGACAGCAAGAGAGCCGTTTTGATGGTGTGAGACAGAGCCTGTTCTCTGCAACAGAATCTCTCCCCATTGTGATCTTGTGGGTGTGATAAGGGCCTACAGACACTAGGTCTTTTTAATTCACAGAGTTGGGAGCAGTAGGCTCTCAGAGGCTTGGCTGGAGATGAAGATACGTGAATTAAAGAGCCTGCGGTGGGACCAGATTTCTGGCTACCAGCCTCTATGATGTCTGGGCCTTTTGTAAAGCACCTTCTTTCCTCCAGGGCTTGGAGCTGGAGGGAAATGTGCAAACATGAGCAGAGGTCATGGCAGTGGGAACATATGCAAGGGTCCAACCTGGAGCCCTGAATTACAAGCGCCTTGCTGTGCCTGAGGATGGAGGTGTACTTGAAGATGTTGAACTGGGTATAAGTCTGCTTCTACCCAGTGTGGAACTGGGGTTACTCTTCTGTTCTGGATATCTCTGGTGCATTTGGTGACTTTTGCAGACCTGGCCATCCATCTTCCTAACAGCTGGGCGAAATAGAGGAGCGAGCATACTGGGAAGGAAGGAGCATGTTGATGTGAGACAGTGGTTTATCCTCAAAGGCAATTGACTTCCAGGGGTCTGGGTTTCCATCTGAGTTCACAAATAAAAGGAAGAAACGCCCTGTAGGATGGGAGACGTAGTCAGGTAAAAGGACAATTAACAGATAAAACCATTATTAAAACTATTACTGTCATCAAGTTTATTAAAATGCTTCCAACTAAATGGATGTGTTGATAATGACAATACAAACAAGGCAACAGCGTTGGGCTAACTCATATGAAGTTAAGCATCTTCCCTCTTCTCAGTTGTGGTACCAGACCCAGGTGGCCACTCATTGTGAGACAGCATGCTGGAATCACAGCGAAAACCAATCCTAACAGCTGTGAGAGCCAGCCAGTGAGTCATGATTGCTGTTGATACCTACAAGATTTTCCTGACTGACAGGAGTTACTAGAAATAGAAAACACAGTTAGGGAGAGACTGCAAGAGATAAATCACCCCGAAGCCCTGATTCATCACTTCTTTGGCCATTAGCTATGTGGGAAAAAAGTCTTTGGCCTCGCATGAATAACGCTGTGTCTTTAATGATGACGTATCGTAGGAGAAAAGTTTGAGCCAACACTGAAACATACAGTTGTGTGAAGCCAAACTCGTCTCCACAGTGCCGGGTATTTTTAGAAGTGGCAGTGATATTACAAATAATGCAGAACCTTCTCCTTGTTCCTCCACTGCCTGACTCAGAGCAACTGGATGAAGCCACAGAGCAAAGGGACACGAAGAAGGAAAGGGAACATTGCGTGTTTGTGTAATTTCCTGGAAATACCTTTTCCCATTAAGAAAAATTATACTTTCCTCCATAATTTTCTGGAAAGCAGGCAGGGAATATTTCTCTCTGTCCCTGGGGAGTCTATATTCCTGCTTACAAGTGCTCCAAAAGAGTTTAAGCCTGTACTT